TCTTCCGATGGTAATTCATGTATGCCTGAGAGTGTAACATGAAGCTGGTCAGTATGCCATGATTTGAGATTAACATTTAAGAAGCCTTCTGTATAACACTGGTTTTGTCACTAAAAGACTTAATAAATAATCATTGCTGGTTTAGTCTAGTCAGACTTTCAAGAGCATACATGACAGGCTTAGGGTGACAAATGTAGTTTAAAAGCAGAAAAGTTTAGATTTACCTGTGGAAAGTATTTTATCAGTGTGACTGCTAACTTAATGTAAGAGAAGCAGAATAAGAACTGTAGCCACGTTATTTCCTCAGCTGCAGCAAGAAACAGCGTTGTAAACGTGAAGATCCATGCAAGTGCCAGTAGTCCAACAACAACTTTGGATACCTTCTGACCTGCTCTCTGAAACAGAAATGCAGATATACTTAGACCAACCTAACCATACATCCCCAGACACTGTAAGATACACAACACGCTCAGGACTATGCAAAGTTACAGTCCAAAGCTGTTCTTGTATGAGTTAGGATCATACCACAAGGGAATTTTAAGTGAGTGCTACAGCAGCCAGCTGTAGGTTTGCAAGAGCTGATGAGCAATATTCAACATCAATTGTTTGGAACACTGCTGTCCATGAACAAGTGGAAAACAATATGTGGCAGTATTCTTGACTATGATGCCTGTTATCAGTGCCACATCTCTAACAATCTCCTGAGTTCAGTGTGATGATAACGAGAGTTCCTATATATGCAAAAGGCTGCTAATGCCATTATGCTAAAAGATTCATGGTTGCCTTCTAATTCTTGACTAGAAAAGACTATTGCACCTAGAAGTGGTGACACATGGGCTGTTACAGTTTTAGGTTTAGCATCACCGAAGGAAGCACCCCAAGAGAGAAACTTATCTTCTAGGGAAAATTAGCTGTTCACATCACAGGCTTTTACAACAGGAATTAAATAAAGAACCACCTCAGTATAACAGTCAATGGGAATTAAAGAACCACCTGGCTACAATAATCAGTCTCACCTGAAAAGGGTGGGAATTATAAAAGGGCCTTTGCAACTGTTTTAGGAGAAAGGAAGTTGGAAAAAAAAAAATAAAATAAGTTGGAAGTCTGAATTGCAGGGAATACCTAAGGACCTAGCTTAAAGAATGGTCCATGCAGTGAGGAAACAGCAAAGCACATAACAGCATTTGTTCTGTGTAGAACTGTAATCTATGTGCTGGCTAGAGATCTGTTTGGGAACTTCATGAACTTAGTTGTTTGCCTCAGTTATTTTGAGTACCTAAGGAGTTGGAGCTCAGAACATCCCCAGGCTGAAGTAGCTAAGCTTTCTGGAGTTGCTACTAGGTCAGGAAAGATAAGGGCAGATGGATTGTGAAGCCTGACTTTTTGAAAGGCCAGAAAAAGTGCAACGAAGAGGACTTCGGAGCCCAAAAGGAGCAGACGGTGAGTAGTGAGATGCCCAGCAGAGGGAGCTGTGGCAGAGCCCAGCGTTGAGACTTACCTCGTAGATGCAGCACTGCGTTACAGTGAGGAGAGTTAAGGCTACCGCGTGGAGACTGAAGAAAACATCATTGATATCCACAGGGTTCACTCCACTGGGATAACTGACTAAGAATTCCTCCTGAATGTAAGGAAAACCAAAAACAACTAAGTGCCTTAATTCCCTTCTATAGATAACCACCCCCTGGGAAGTATTAAGAGATAATTATGCTTACCTTAATCAAGGGAATCCAGAAAAGTCCAACATTAAACACACTGTATGCTATAAAGCCAGTAAGGTTTAATGCTAGAAAGTCAAAGCTTAGTCCAACAACACTAGAGAAGGGAGGAAAAAAAAAAAGTCTGAGAAATATGCATGATCATCATAGGCAGTTCCAGCAACAACTTAACCCTACAATGTACTGATTTATAGGCAATTTTTGATGCAAGTGAAAGCTGCAGGCATTGTAACATGATGGTGTGAGTCCATCAGGAAGCAAGGTGAAATAGTCCTCATATGCTAGGCACTTGTACTCATGAAAGCTCTCTGACACAGTTGTGTCCCTGCTCTTCAACTTCATGCTGCCATAAGCTCAGCTAGTCTGATAAATTCATTCCAGCCTGAATCCATGGAAGTAGTAGTGCATCTTTGCCAGAAGAAATGCTTTAGTTTTCATGTATAATAATGTTTCTACTTAGAGTCACTTTATTTAAAGGGAACTGGCCTAATGAGTACACTACAAACTGCTCACAAGGTGATTTTTGAAAGTGGTCATCACAACTGGCTCAGCCAGATGATTTACAGCGTGACACCAAAGGGAATGGGTGAGTCTCCTCTATCACAAATCAGTATTTGACGCCAAACCTGAGGATTAGGTGTCTACAGGATGCACTTACTTTCCTCTGACCTGCATGCACAAGAACTCATTAGGGCTGCATTTATCCAGGCCCTGTACTTGCCTTACACCCCTACCCCCCAGTCTTCTAATGCATAATTCACAATAAGCAAGATGGATGTAACTGAAGCTAGGAACATGATTTGCAGAAGTAAGTGCTTAAGTGACTTGGAAACACATTTGAAGTCTCTTTACCTTTTTCGGCGCCAGTTCTCAAAGAGTTGAGGATAAAAGGAGATAGACCAGGCAAGGAAATAGATCCAGCCAATCACCTCATCAGTGTATCTCACTATGATGCTATGAATCACTTGAAACCGAATCCTAGGTCTGATGGGTAATGCAAAAAGAATGAGTTAATTTGTCTGTTCACACTTTTTTCAGGAGATTTTGCCAAGTTCTGCTTTGAGAAAACAGAGTGCAGGTGTTGAGACAAGGCAATAGATTCAGAGTTGGTTTCAGTTGAGATGCTCCCCTTTAGTGCACTTCTGTCTAGGACATCTCTCACTCCTACCCTCAATCTACCCTTTCCTTCTTGCCTCTTTTTTTTTCATTTTGTTACCACAGAAATCTTAAAAGGTCATCTTGTGCTTGTGGCTTCCACTTTCAAAGCACAAGGTCTGTTATGCAAGAGCAGAGTTTCACTTTTCACAGGCTGTCAGCAAAGCCCCATGATCACGCCTGTCCTGTTGAGCACTTCACATGCTTACCTCTGTATTTGCTTTGAGCCTTAAAAGCAGAAGCAAAATGAGGAAGTAAAACTGTTAGTAGCATTTGGGCAACAAGCAAACACAATCCAACTTTCTCCATCTTTCCAGATCGTTTTTTTATTAGGGAGGACTGGCATCTGTGAAAAGAGAGGTCCCCTAACTAGAAAGCAAGACATCTGTATCTCATGATAGCGACATAAGCACGCAACTGCATCAGTCTGTTAGCACTCCAGAACAAGTTCTGCACACTAAAAATAGTATTCCACTGGACATTTACAACCAAATGCTTCCTGGATCAGACAAGCTGACAAGTAGTTTTGATACTTTTAGGAGAGGTTATTAAAACCAGACTAAGGAACCATAAGAACTCAAGAGTCATCTAGTAATGAAATCCAAAATCCCAAGACTATCACTCTGCTTCCATACCCTGTATTTATTTGAATAGCTTTTGGATTGCTGGAGGGTCACATCTCAACTACATACTACCCATGTCCCATCAGCTATTTAACTATAAGGAGGGAGTAGTTACCCCAGAGTGTAGGAAGCTGTAGGATAGCAAGTAGAACTAAGAAAACCAGTTTCTCACCCAGTTAAGTTGGAATTAATGGCATAAAGATAAACTGTTACTTGTCCAACATCATCTGCTTTCACTTGGAAGTCTGCTTTTGTGTGGCCTGCAGGTAATTGTACCTGCAAGACAAAGCAGAGGAAAGAAAGAGGAGAGTTACACCATACTAGTGGAAGGTTTTTGCATAAGGTCAGAAATTTGTTCTGTCACTTACTTCATCAGGCAGTTCAACAATGGTGCTGTGCTTCGATGAGTGTGTAATATTAAGAGTTATCACAAGTGTCTCATTTAATGGAGCCCTGTGAAAGTAGAAAAAACAGGTTAGTCTGGTGCTTGAGTTCATAAAGATTGCTTTAAGGCTCTGGGAGAGTATCTGCTAAATCCTCACAGCTGTTGCAAACAATGAACAGGTCATACACCACAGTACCTCTTTATCACAACTCTTAAGATTTTCATGTGACGGTTCTCTTTACTCAAACTTTGACATCCAAAGGGGAGGGGGTGCATGTGTTTAACAGTCGTTTCCTGGGAAGAGGCTAACACAGCAAAAACATGGGTAAACAATGCACATTTTACTAATGAGACTAACAATGAAACTAAGGTGCATCAGCCCCCACTCTGAACTAGCTGCATTTCTTTCTAGAAACCGAGTTCTGTTTGCTTGGTAAAATTTTCTTGGTGATCCTTCTAGGAAATGCAAGTTTCTCTTAAGCATCAATTTTTAAAAATGGAGGCACTGTGAGTTCACTTATGGAAGACAGTTCAGTAAGCTAATATAGGGTAGAGACTATAAAACATCTTTTCCTGCTCAACTTCCCATATAAATGGCATGGGGTATTGTCAGAGGCCAACCATACAAAGCTGTTTGTGAGAATGTTGCACTATCCTGATTCATATTGTTCTAAGCAATGTAATAGTCTAGAAGTGGCCAGTCACAACAATGAGATTTACTTTGTATGAACAATTAAATGAGTCTGCAGGGAAGTCTTAAGTATATAGTCAAGTCCTACCCATTTGCTCATCCCTCATTCCAAAAAGAAAGTAAAGATGCAATCATGATTTTACCTCAGAGAGATAGTGACATTTGTTGAACTTCCACTTTCTAATGAAACCACTTCAGGGACAGACAATACAATGACTCCATCTGAGATAGAACAAAAAAAAAAAGTCAAAAAACAACCACGCACATCTCAATTACTGTGAATAATTAATAGCTCCTTCAGAAGAACTACCTACTTTCTTTTGTGATACAGACATTTTGTCCATTGGTATCCGTGGTGTCAGATTAATACAGTGAGTACACATGGTAAACAGCAAAGGGAGTGCAGCTTATTTCAAGGTGACTAAACAACTTGAAAGAAGTACTGTCACTTGACCATGTTACAAGGAAGCAATTTAAATATTTGAAGTGCAACAAAAGTTCATGCCAAGAGAAGGCTATAGCATACTTCAAACCCATGCTAATTGTTTCTTGATGTGATCCTAGTAACTTAGGAGTCATAAATGCCCCAAATTTATTTTGTAATAGCTTCTTGGGTCACAATTCAAACCAGGTGTCCAGATGTTCCAGCAAATGTATATTTATCTTAATGCTTCAGGAATCACAAAGCACCTTACTATAGTGCTCTGAAATATAACTATTAAGTGGCACACTTTACAACAATTCAGCTATGTTGTACCACATAATCTTTAAGAGGCTGAGATTCCAAGAACCAATAAAACGGGTATCAAAACCATAAGGTGGTCACACGTCAATGATTTTGGCATTTGGAATCTAAGCCTCTTTTATACACTGTATATTTAAAGGACACGAGACAAGAAGAAGAACAAAGAGGTACATAAGATTAGAAATGGAGAAAATAGGTTGCTCCAGCTATTTTTTTTTTATTGCTATATATTACATAGTGTTCTTAAGAAATTATTTGCAGGCAGGAGAGCTCCCCAGTTCATCACTGACTGCACCACAGACAGTATTTAATCTGTTGCTGCAGAGGTGAGTTTGGAGCAGGAAGTGAGTGCTCCATCACAATAGTGCCTTAGCATAGCACTGTCTGTGTAGGAGCACACCAAGTCAAAGGTAACATGTGGAAGAAGAGCTGATGGGAAGCATGGCACAGGTCTCCCCAGAGAGGTAGAACAGGGACACTGCAGAGCAGCTCTCTTCCACCTCTTACAGATCTGGAGCTGGTCCCTGCCTGAGGGAGCCCCATGGCCCAACCTGGGATGACCAGACACTCACCGCTAGGCCCCAGCAGTGCAAGGGAGAGGTACAGCAAAATGGGGTGCAGGTATTGCATCCTCATGGTGGAAAAGCTGCAGAAAAGCAGGGAGAAGGCTTTGCTTAGGACTCACAGCCTTTGAGGAGACCCCTGCCCATCCCCTCAGCTGGCAGCACCCTGCAAACGGCGCCCACGACAGTCTGGCTGAGGAACCCTCAGCACCCCTCACTCCCCCCCCCAGACAACACCAATTCAGTCCCTCTGCCTGCCCAGACTCCCCCGAGGGCATCTTTACCTCATAGCTTGTCCCACAACCGCCCCCTGAGGGACCCTCCCCTTCCCCTCGAGACTCCAAATCTCAGCAGCCACTGCACTTCTACCGCTCCCACCCCCCGGGCAACGCGGTGCGCACTGGGACTTGTAGTCCCCGCTGCCCTCCCCGCAGGACACATGGTGCAGCGGGAACATCCCACGCTTGTCCTAAAGTGTCCTAACGCTAACACCGAGAAGGAAGCAGTGCGGAGGAGCAAGTACCTACCACCTTCCACTGCCGCGGCTCCGTCCCGGCTCTTCCCTTTTCAGCTTCTCACGTGAGGCGGCCGCCCATCACCTCCCCGCCCATTGCCGGCGCGACCGCTCTCGGGCGCCATATTGAGTGCGGCAGAGCACGCCGGGCTGGTGTTGGCGGGACTGTGAGGCGGGAGAGCTGCGAGCGGAGGGCGGGCTTGGCGCTCTGGTTGCTTGTTAAAGTTCAGCTTAAAGCTGCGCACATCACCGGGGAGGTCTGGGGAAGGGGTAGTTTCTTAAGTTCAATATGGAGGGGTAGTGACCAGGCGCTGCTGAGGGGAGACATTTTTCAGAGGGCAAAGTCCACGCTGCTCTCCAAGCCCAGTCCTGCGCACTGAGAGGTGGGAGCCCACGCAGCTTGTGCCCTCGCCATCCTTGGCTTTTGGGGCAAGTTCCCCCCCAGAGGCAGCAAGGAGAAGTGTGGGGCTTAGCCTGGTGGGTGTTGGTCCAGCCGCTGTACAGAGACCTGTGCTTGGCGGGGGAGGTGAAAGCAATCTCCTCTCCCCATGGCCATGGCGGGTGGCAGGCAGACCTGTGCCTGCTTGCGTGCTGGGCATAGACTTGGGCACAACGTCGGTTAAAACAGCCCTGTTGATAGGGACAGAGCGAGGGCAAGTGGTGGCAGAGAGCTGCTCCAGGGAGACGCAGGCACACAGCAGTAGCCTGGAAGCTGGACCTCAGGTAAGGGGAGCCAGGTTGCAGGATACTCGCCTTGCCTTGTAGTGGCTGGGTTGTTTTGCGATGTTGTGCAGGCTTCAGTGGTTTTCCTTGATTGTTTTCATGCCTAGATTGACAGATGGTTGTTGCATGTTTGTGAGTGTGTGAAAGTAGAATTAAAATGCGCTCTCTTTACTGTTGAAGAAAGTCGAGTAGTGCTGCGTGATTTAAGAAAGACCCAGCTTTTGAAAAGTTGCATAAGACAATCTAAAACTATTATTTCATGAACCATCACCTTGTCTTTGACACTGCTTGTCAGGAAACAGCAATCACCTGCCAACTAGAAGGGTATTTTGCACTTTTAATGTGAGATGGAATCATAACTGGAAATTCCCTGTGGAAAGAACTGCGAGCATGTAATCCTGTTAAAGACCTTTACCTGTATTGTGTTGGTCAATCTAAGGATGAATCAGAATCCTAAAAACTACATATCAACATTCTCTGGCCTAGTATTGAAGTGAGCCCAGGTGCTAACTTCTGAGCAAAGATACCAAACAGGCCAACCCTCTGTACAGTTGTGTTTATGCAGCCAAAGATATATGTGTGCAGAATAGTTCACATCTATATGTAGACTGTGCTTGAATACTTTTGCTTGTAATCTTCATACTGGTCTGTCACAAAGTAATTGGAATCTTTGAAATTCCTTGTGAAAGCTGGAATGCAGCTTCTCTTGTGATGTGGTTTGGTCAGTTTGCTGAGTAGGTCAGTTTGCTGGGAAGCTGGAGAAATAGAGTATCCAGAAATGAAGTATCAACATCATCAAAATCAACAGGGAGTAGATACAGAGGAACTTGAGGAAGATACAAGGGAGACTGCGTGCCAGTCAGAACACAACAGTAATCCTCTTTGTGGGGAAAAAGAAGAGCAATATGTAAGGCAAATCAATGAAAGCATGTAGTGAGTGCTAATGGATTTTTTTAAAAGGTATAGTTGAGTATGGTAACTTAGGAAATTAAGAATTATCTGGCCTTCAGTTTAAGAGGCTGTTACCTTATTCTCAGCTTGCTGGTATTGAGTTTTAGTTTCTGTGGGTTTGTGGTTTTTTTTTACTTTTTTATTCTTTCAATTTAGTAGTGAATGTGGTTCTAATACATGCTATTAAGCTAAATGAATTCTGTTCCTCACTTCTGACTTGAGTAGTCTTGTTTAAGAAATACAGTGAGTGAATCCTAATGGTTTTATGCTCAGAATAATGTTTTATGATTACAGGGAATGGAGCAGAATGTCCAGAGAATAATAAGAGCACTCAATGAATGCCTTGCTGCTCTACCTCAGCAGCAGCTTCAAAGAGTCAGTCACATTGGTATTTCAGGACAAATGCATGGGATTGTATTTTGGAAAAGAGATAA